AATCCTTCTCTCTTGGGTTTCTATCCCTCCTTAAAATTTTGCATCCTTCTTCTAGGAAGTAGCTGCAACAAGGGGAAATCTCCAAGTTTGGGAATCTCTGTAAATGACATCTGTGCATTTTAAAAGGGTAATATACGAATTGGTACAGTAGTAACAAATTAATATGTCCAACACTGTGCATAGCTCCATCTGCAGGGTGGTGGGCTACATGGTCCATTCCAACTTTGTGATTCTACATGCACTGGTCTAAACACTGAGGCTTACCATCGAGTCAAGATCTGGTACTAGTTATTATGTATGCTGTACTTGCCAATTTAACCCTTATTTTCCATACTGCTATGATAAGACCATGATGGTCCACAACCACATACTCAGGAAAACCAAATTGTGTTTAATGGAACTCTTTCTTGTCTGCTAGCCAGCCAGCCTCTCTGAATTGATCAGGTAGGCTGAGCATGACAGGGAGATTCAGCCACATAGGAAATGGAGCATTATGCCAGTTGAGTCCTACAACTGCTGGTTGATGAAGTGCACTACATTACATCCAAATGGATGGTTATCAGCACCGGTGGCCTTTTCAGACTGTTAATCTTCTCTGCTCTTGCTCAAAGGGATCCCACGTGACTAGATGGCCTGGCTTCTACATTCTCCAGTGGAAGTTCCACAGCATGCCTGCCTGTGCTACCACCAGTCTGCCTCGTGTTGATGATGTCCTGGCATCTCTACAGGTCTCATCTCACAAGTGCAAAGTGATGTACTACACAGAAGTAATTGGGTCAGAAGATTTCAGGTAAGATTAGCTGTAATATTGCAAGTGCCATTCTTTAAAAAAAATGAGAATATTTCTTATGGCTAGCTAAACTTAGATACAGGTAGTCAAGGACTTCTCCAGAACAATACAGGAACAGCAGGCAGAGCTCATGCAATTCTGCCATTTCCATGACTTGCTTTTTCTAAAGATTTTGAGAGTCATCAAAATGATGCTTAAAGGTACTATGCCTGTGAATTTCAGGCAACACCTCTGGTTAAAAGCAGTTACAGCTGATATTTATGGTTCCCCTGTTTTACTGCGTTTTCTTATCTCCGTTCTTCACATTACTTGCTGGGGTCCATAGCAAAACATACATATACTATATTGGTGTCCAGTTCACAGAGCCTTAATCTTTTCTTGCCTTGTTTGACTGTTTTCACAAAAAAATAACACTTAATATGAATTCAGAAAATGATTTTGACTTTTTGTCCTGGAGTAAAAATGGTCATCTCTAGGGGTTACTAATATATACACTGCTGTCTAAACAATAAGTACACTTGACTAATATTAACAAGCATTGGATTGATAAACAGAAACAGAGGGAGGAAAAGAGTTAGATGGTCTTTTAGGCCAGAGTTAAGGGGCAAATTGTTATCATGAAAACTTGATCGTGTGCTGGTCTCGAAAACTACAGTAATCATGGAATGCTTAGCTTTACTGGTCTTTTTAACGATAAAGAGATCAGGCATTGGCTTCATGGTCCCAGAATTATTTCTTATACTAAGAAGTTGCATCAGATAATAGTGACTTTTGCTTATTTATTTGAAGAGGAAGGAAACAGCAAGCCGAATACTTTTGTCAGTGAATTTATGACAATTTTTTTTTTAATGCTATTCACTATAAGAGGGACTTTAGTCAGTGTAGGTGCTGGCATTCTTCTGTTTCAGTAGTATTATCTCTTTGAAATGAAATCATTTTCTTCAAATCAATTTGGTTTTTGACTGTAAGTGGCAATTGTATATGTGAACATTTTTTAGTGCATAGAATCCAGAAGATTCCTTAAACTGACTCAGATTAATAACTTTTAATCTGAATCAATTTAAGGAATTTTCTGGATTCCATACAGTACATGTTTATCCATTGTTAGAGAGATCCTCTATCTAATTTTACTTAATATATTGAATGAGTAGTTGGATCTGGAAGCTGGGAAGCACCCCTTCCTTTGCTGCTGGTAGGGTCCATCAGTCTCCATCATTGCAGGCCTTTAGTCAAGCCCTAAAGAGAAACCTATGTTCTTACTGTATGTCCTTAAACAAGATATTGTGGGATAGTTGACTTGTTAAAGTGGTGTTAGCTGTAAAGATGTATGGGAACCTAGCACCTTTTTGGACTCAAAGCATCTTTTATTCTTTTTTTATTTGGATTATTATAGCTTTGACATCTTTGAGGCTTACTTTTTATTGTAATAGTTGGAAGCTGCTTTGGGAAGGTAGAAAGCTGGCATATATGTGAATGATTCGTTCTGGTTCCTTGGCTAACTGACTATGTAAACCAGCCCTTCTCCACCTGGTGCATTCCACAGAGTTCCTCAGGTTGGCCGGGGCGTTATAGGAGCTAAAACTAATGAAAAAGACTCCATGATCAGCACCACACATTGATCATCTGGCAAAGGATATCAGTAGGCACTGCCAATTCCCTTAGGGATTCCCTCCCTGTACAATTTTTGTGTACAGCTCAGCCTGTGAAGGTGTCTTATCCTTACTGTGACTCTGTCTTTCTGCAGGGGATCCATGAGCAGCCTTGAATCAAGTCACAGTGGATTTTCTCAGCTCAGCGCTGCTACAACTTCCTCCGGCCAGTCTCAGTCCAGCTCCATGATTTCCAGGTAGTGCCGCTGCCAGCAAAAGCCAGTTGATGAGACGGCTGGACCCTCGTCTGTGGTAGCCAACCGCAATACAGCGTAATCATCAGTGACACTTGCAAAAACAAACACACAAATGGAAGGTCATTTTATAGATAGTAAAAGTAGCTGTGTACATTTAAATATCCTGGTTTTGTTTTGAATTAGAACTGAAAGAGTGTGTCTAATCTTAATAGCCATAGTTTTTTATACACATGCTTGCACAAATCCTCATTTGGAAATGTAAGGGCTGTTTTGCAAAGGAAGAAGTAATCAGTGGTTGTATGGCTGAGAATTTATTTAACTTTCGGTCGATATATTTGTAATGCGTTAGAAGTCTGTCCTAAAGCTTTTGCCAGTGAGACTTTCGCAAAGTTTAAGTATGCTTTTTTTCTTCTGCTCCTGCTCTCCTTAAGTCTCTCCTCTGTTGCGGCCCAGCGTTAAGGCGTGAGGAGCGCAGTGGCTGGGTCCCTGGCATTTTCTGAAGAGCCAGCTGGTGAACTGGCCGAACCCTTTTCTCTATCTTTTCTCAGCGATAGGTGCTGCCCTGACAGAGGGAGCCGAGCTGCTGGTGCTGTCAGGCAGCTCTTTTAACACAAATGCATTCTGCTTAGCTCACATGGTTCAAGACAGACTCCAGTTTCGGGCATTGAAAGGCATTAAGCTAGAACGTACACTTCGGAGCATTGAAGGGGGGAAGGAAGAGGGCAGAGCAGGCTCTCCTCAACTCAACCCAAAGGCTGGCCCTACTTTGAGTCCTCAGGTTTGTCTCCCCTGGAGGTGCATGTGACTGCACCTCATTTGCTTCTTTTCACCCTCGACAAATATCCTTTGAAGAGTGGCATCTTTCCTGCCAAGACCTTCCTGGAGAAGTGGTTGTCCTTTCCTTCCTGTGCCCTTCTCCATTTCCCTGATCTGCCCTGTGAATGCCAAGAGAAACCTCATGCACGGCTGCCATACAGAGCACAGCCTGCTGCGGCAGCCGTTCATTGCAGACATCCACACGTTTCTGTAACAGCAAATTTGCTAAAGGTTGCTTAAACTCCAGCACTTGCTTCATTAGTATCTGAAGCTTGTCCTGTCTTTTGGAAGCCTTGGGACCTAAAACAGCCGGCTGCCAGGCGAGCCTTGCTGATGCAACTGAGTATGATTCTACAAGGATTGCAAATCTGTTCCCGCAGCAGAGAATAACTGCTGAAGTAGTATCTGTTGAATTCATTCATCCCCACTCAAAGCTCTAAATACCACAACACCTCCACCCCAATATATAATTACAGCCTTGCTTAGAGAAGGCTCTATGCTTACATAACTTGTAGAACACTTACTGTACACTCTCTGCTTTGGGAAAAGGAGAGTAATGATGAATGCAACTTGCAAATTTATTAATGAGCAAGGTAAGGGAATTTGTTTAAGATGAGAGTGTTTCATGTGCTGATTCAAAGGACATAAAGTGTTAAGACACTTGTCATATGAATTATAAAACTAAAACCGGTGAGTGCTTAAAGAATTAGGCTAGATGACCACTCTAAACATTGGTTAAGTGGAGTTGAGAGTATAGATTAGTTCCGCAAACTTACACATGCTATATTTCTTCCAGCTGCTGCTTTTTGTGATAGCTTCTTAACTAGTAAGAGCGCTAGTATGGTAATTAGCTTCAGGAGCAGTTTTAATTGTTGGTATGTAGTCATGAACATGGTTCCCAGCCTCAGAAACATTGTGCCATGTTCAGCATCTTGTAATTAGTGTCCCCCGTGCCCTGTTGCGAAATGGTACATTTCCCCCCCTCCAAAATAGAGGCTGTGTAAAAGATGGCTTCCTTCCCCCATGGCAATTTTGCTGGCAGCTGTAAAGAAAAAGTTTGAGTTAATGGTTGCTATCAGCCCATGTCTGATTTTGCAGAACTTTTAAAAATTGGAGCTACTTTTCCTGTCTGAAGATATAAGTTTGCTCAGTAATGTCCCTTGGAGGGAATACATTACTTTGGGAGGAAAGTATATTTCAGAACTCAAAGCACAAACACTTGGAGGGGAGGGGGGTGTCATCCGTCATAAAAAGCATGACATGCCAACTATGGCCCACTTAACCCTTTGCTCTTCTCCTTAGTGTGTGATCTTACTCCTG